CTTTCCCCCCACATTGACTCCCTTCTCCCTATCCTCTCCCACCTCTTCCCCAGTTTTGTTGTCTATGTCCATCGGTTATGCATGCATATAAGTTCTGTGGTTCATCCCTTTCCTCCCCCCCTTCTGAGGACTGTCAGTCTGTACATTACTTCTGTGTCTCTGGGTATATTTTGTTCATCCCATCTGTATTTCTTATATCACAATAGCACAGCCTGGTATTGCAGCATCTCTGGGAACATGTGCTTTGGGGGACTCACACTGGTTAGAAAACTTGTGAATTTGGGGCTGTGATAATTATGTACCAGTTGTAATTCTTTAGTCCCTATCCTAGGGGTAACTTCCTGTTCAGGAATTCTAAGATCCCATATTGAAATCTTGGATCCCAAATTCTCATTGTGTGTCTTTAGGATTGTATTGTTGAAAAACTCTGATAGCATTTAACTATTTTGGATGCCTGAATCGAATTTATTTGAGTACCAGATACTTTTCAGATGGTGCATTTATTTCTCTTTTCCTAAGAGATGGCTTTGGTTGCATTTCCTTTACTCTTTCTGGCTTTTATCCCCTCACATCTCTCACCCTTCCCTAAGACAACACTCTTCTTTAGCAGCCAGTGTCCCTCCTGCAGGACTTGTAATAACAAATAACATTATTCCGGTATCAGTTCTCCATAACAGCTGCCAGTTAGTCCCTTTGGTTGAGATCGGCCTCCTTCTCTGCTTTCATCTCAGCCGCATTTTGACTTCCAAATGCTCAGTTTCTTAACTTCAGCCAGCACTTATTTTTCAAATGCTAAACTGCTGAAGACTGATCGGTATTTTAGAGGCAGAGCCTGGATGCTTTTTTCCTGGGTCTTTGGAATAATGCCCTGGGCTTTGGCAGAATTGCAGGGTCTGTTGGACAGAGACAGTTTCTTAAGTTTCTAACTATCCTTCCCATCTTTGCTCTCTTTGGAAATACTTTTTTACACTTTGGGGGAAAATAACGTCCTTATCTTTTGGCCGAGATCAAGTAGTCCTCATCTGTTGGGAAACACGTGACAGGAATTTTTGCAACAGGGAATCAGAAAGCACTTTCTCTGTACACTTGGCCCTCTGCATTTCACGGCCCGCCTCCATCTGCTGGCCTGAGTGTGAAGTACCAAGGACTCGGGGCTTCGTGTGGTCCTACTGGTCTCTGGACTGTTGAACTGCTTTTTTTCTTTGCTTTGTCTCAGTTTCTCTCTTATTTTATTTTTTTTAATCCTCACCCGAGGATATTTTTCTATTTATCATTGGAGTGGGAGGGAGGGAGGGAGAAAGGAGAGAGAGAGAAACATCAATATGAGAGAGACACATCAACTGGTTGCTTCCCAAACAACCCGACCAGGGCTGGGGACAAACTGCAACCAAGGTATGTACCCTTGACCAGAATCAAACCTGCAACTCATTGGTCCATGGACCAATGCTCCTACCACTGAGCCAAACTGGCCAGGGCTTAGTTTCTCTCTCTCTCTCTCTCTCTCTCTCTCTCTCTCTCTCTCTCTCTCTCTCTTTATTTATTTATCCTTCCTCACCCTCAGATATTTTCCCCATTGATTTGTAGAGAGAGTGGAAGGAAGGGGAGAGGGAGTGAGAAACATCAACGTGAGAGAGAGATACCACCATTGGCATCTTCCTGCACACCCCCTACTGGGGATCAAGCCAGCAACCTGGACATGTGCCTTGACTGGGAATCAAACTAGGACTCTCAGTCCATGGGACGACACTCAATCCACTGAGCCACACTGGCTGGGCCTCTCTCTCTTTTTTTTAATCCTCACCCGAAGATATTTTTTCCATTGATTTTTTAGATAGCGTCGGAGGGAGGAAGGGAGAGAGAGAGAAACATCAATGTGAGAGGCACATCAGTTGGTTAGCTCCTGCATAACCCTGACCTGGGCAAGAGATCAAACCTGCAACTGAGGTATGTGCCCTTAACCGGGAATCAATCCTTCGACTCTTCAGTTTGAGGGCTGATGCTCTAACCACTGAGAAAACCAGCCAGGGCAGTTCCTCTATGTTTTAAAAAATATGTTTTTTATTGATGTTAGAGAGAGGAAGGGAGAAGGGGAAAGAGAGAGCGCGAGAGAGAAACATCAATTGGCTGCCTTCCATACGCACCCTGACCGGTTACTGAACCTGCAACCTGGGAATTGAAACTTTGACCTTGGTACACAGAATGGTGCTCAGTCCAGGGTGTCTCAGTTTCTCTTGAAGGCTTAATTCTTTTTGACACATTATATATTTTACATTCCTATTTTAGATATTAAAATGTATATTTGTCAACATAATTGTAGGATCTGAGGCTCTCTAGCCACTTGCTGCCCTCTTTCTCCACTGTTGCTTTTCTGTCTTCTCCCTCCCCCAGATTTAGTACTTTGTTTTATTTTGGTTGAACAGCTACAAGTTTTTTGTTTTTTCCTTATAGTTTCATCTTTATAAGGTACAGTATTGTTTCTTTTTTTTTTAATCCTCACCTGAGGACATTTTTGCATTTATCTTGAGATAGAGTGAGAGTGAGAGAGAGAAACATTGATGTGTGAGAGAGACACATCGAGTGGCTGCCACCCACACTGGGGCCACACATCCAGTGGTTGCCACCCAACTGGGGCCAGGGACAAACTGCAACCGAGGTATGTGTCCTTAGCGGGAACCGAACCTGGGACTCTGGTCCGCAGGCTGACGCTCTGACTGCTGAGCCAAACTGGCCAGGGCGGTACAGTATTGTTTCGATTCTTTTTCACTTTTATGTTTTTATGTTCCTGTGCTGCTTTTGTTGACTTGTGCCTAAGAAAGGAATTATTTGGGTTTGATTGATGTAGTTCATCCATTCATCAAACAAGTGTCTGCCCTCTGCTACCTCAGAGCAGGCAGGTGCATTGACAGATAGCACACTTGTCTTGAAGTGCAAACAGGCATGCAGACAGGAAATGTAATAAACAAAGGGGACATGAATTATAGCACAGGTAGGTGTGCAGTGCATGGAAAGTAATTCTTTTGGGGGAGATGAGAAAAGCTGTCATGTGAGCTAAGTCTTGAATGAGTAGGAGCTTATGAGGCAGAGTGGCAGAATAGGAAGGGCAAACAGAGGGAGTGGCATGAACAAAGATGTAGAGGCCTGAAGAAGTCCTGTGTTGTGAGGCTGGCAGGTGCTTGAAGGCTGATGTGGCTGGAGGGTGGTCCCTGTGGCAGGTGTAGTGGGTGATAAATGCAGAGGTAAGTTGTTAGCTTCTTTATCCCATGCAGAAGGGATTGGCTTTATCTGTCAGGAGCTATGGGGACTGTGAGTGATATGTTGGACCATCTGGGGGTATTATGTTGGACCATCTCAAGGAGGGTTTCTGACCCCCCAGTTTTCAACCTTGAGCTTTCATGCTGGGGATCAAGTCTGTGCAGAGTCCCTGGTTGGCATTTAACTGCATGCTCAGGGCACCTTGGACTTCTTATCATTGAACACTGCTCTGAACTCCAACCTTTACCCACTTGCCTGCTTCCCTTTAGGAATTGGTCTGGCTTTGTCAGGGTGGGTTTGGGGTGTGGGCTTTGGGATGAAGAAGGGGATGGCAGAGGACAAGTCTTTCACACCTTTGGCTTTCCTTTGGCACCCCTTCTTGTCTGCTGTTTCTTCAGATCTTGGTTTCTGCTTTCTTCCAAATACACAGCCATCTTGGCTTCCAGCCCAGGTAAGAGAGGGTAAAAAAACTTACTTTCTTCAGCTCCTCTCTGAAAATAACCCAGCTGGCACTGCTCAGGAACAAGAAGTTCCTGAGTGTTGGCACTTCATGGGGTTGATGTCCAGCAGCCCCTGCTATGAACCTTGTCTCTGCCCCATTTACCCTCAATTCAAGGACCTCTGTGTTGGAAAGTTGGGTGATCTTCAAGGCGTCTGCAGCACCAGCTGCCTCCAAGGCTTCACATAGGGAAGTGATGGGGAGGGAAGGGAACTCTGGCACCCTGGGGAGATTGGGAGACCTGTGAGGTGGGGAAGAGTCTGACCATGGCATCTTTTTTTTTTTTTTGGTGATATGTGCCCTTAGCGGGAACCGAACCCAGGACTCTCTGGTCCACAGGCCGACACTCAACCGCTGAGCCAAACTGGCCAGAGCACATCTTCTGATCCGTTGTAGGAAAAAGGTGGATGGCTCTGAGGCCTAGCCCTGGAATGTTTGCTATAGCCCAGTGATTGCCTATCAGTCTCTTCCTATCTGCCCCACATCCTGGTGCCAGAAACTGGGGAAAGGGGAGGGTAAGGCACGCAGTGTCAGCAACTCTCCTGTCCAAACAGAGTCATCGTAAAACATCTTGGAGAAGACTGGATTAGAATTAATTCAATAAAGTTAATAAAGCAAAGTATTGTAATTGGCGTTCCATAAATAATTGCTGCCTGATGAATTAAATGAACTCAAGTTGAGTCTTGAAGGAGTGGAAGTAAGCCCTGTGGGGAAGCGGAGGTATCCCCAAGTCCCAGAGGCCTAAGCAGGCCTCTTAGGCCTGGTGGGGAAAAGGCAGAAGTTGAGTTTGGCTGGCTCTGAGCCTTAAAGGGCCTTGCGAAGTTGGGGGGACCAGACAGGCGGTGGTTTGGGTGCTGGGCCAGGAGCAAATATGTTGGACAGTGTCGGGGCAGTCACTAGCCTTCCGTGTGGGCTCTGACCCGCGCTGCTGGACGCCCCCTTTCAGCGCCCACTTTCCACTTTCCGGTGGTGTAGTGATCAGCGGGGACCCAGGTGGGAAAAATCACTGACTCTGCCCACCTAATGGTGGCTTCTTAGCGTCGGGCTCGAAGGAACCTTGCGGATAGACGGGTTCGAGATGAGGAATTGGACCAAGCAGCATTTGGAGGCCAGTTCCGGACACTATTACCGCTCCCCTCCCCCCGAAACAGCCCCAGAAAGAGCAATCCAGGAAGTTTCCCTTTAAGGGGCAGACACGGGCGGGCCGGGGCGGGGCTCCCTGCGCACGTCTCCGTGGCCGCGCCGCCCGGCGGCAGAAGCTGTCGGGAGCTGAACGGAGTCACGGGGCGAGGAGATCGTTCTGGGGCCGGGAGCTCGAGACAGGTGTCCAGCCACCACCTAATCACCGACTGCGTCGTGTCGCCGGTTCCGCAGGCACCATGAGCCAGGACAACGAGGTGGGCATGAAAGAAGTGGAGCTGAACGAGCTGGAACCCGAGAAGCAGCCGATGAACGCGGCGTCGGGGGCGGCCGTGTCCGCGGTCATGGCGGGCGGCTCGGAGAAGAACGGTCTGGTGAAGATCAAGGTGGCCGACGACGAAGCGGAGGCGGCGGCGGCCAAGTTCACGGGCCTGTCGAAAGAAGAGCTGCTGAAGGTGGCGGGCAGCCCCGGCTGGGTGCGCACCCGCTGGGCGCTGCTGCTGCTCTTCTGGCTCGGCTGGCTCGGCATGCTGGCCGGCGCCGTGGTCATCATCGTGCGGGCGCCGCGCTGCCGCGCGCTGCCGGCGCAGAGCTGGTGGCACAAGGGCGCCCTCTACCGCATCGGCGACCTTCAGGCATTCCAGGGCCAGGGCGCGGGCGACCTAGCGGGTGAGCGCCGTGCACCCCCACCCCGCCCCCGCGCGTCCCTGCTTTAACGGGTCCTCGGCTCGGACCCCACCCCCGTTTGGCCAGGACGGTTCTCCAGCGCACCCCGTGGCGGCGGCCGCTGCCCGGGACGCAGCTCCTCCTTTGGAGAGCCCTCTCTCGAGGATAGTTGACTCAGCATCTGCCCTTCTTCCTGTAGCGCTCGGCGCCCAGAGCCAGTCGCTGCGGGTTTCTGAAGCAATGTGCTGAGCTCCTTACATCAGCTCCTCTAAGCCTCGTGATCCAGCCTCGTCCTCCACACTTAGTCCCGGGAGAGGAGATCAGGGGTCTCTCAGACCGGCCTCGCTTTAACCCTCTTCCCCATTACAGGCCTGAAGGGGTATATCGATTACCTGAGCACCCTGAAGGTGAAGGGCTTTGTGCTGGGCCCAATTCACAAAAACCAGAAAGATGACGTCGATGGGACCAACTTGGAACAGATCGACCCCACTCTTGGCTCCAAGGAAGATTTCGAGAGTCTCCTGCAATCGGCCAAGAAAAAGAGTGGGTGCCCTGGAGTTGGCAGGGCAGCAGCTAGGAAGGGCTTGGTCTTCTGGCCAGAGGAAAGGCAGGATAGGATTTTTGTCTGGTTTACTCCTGACTGCTTCTGAGTTTTCCTAGGGCAGGTATAAAGGAGTTATGTCAGGTTTGAGCCTCAAATGGATTTGTCAAGTGGTTCAGAGACTTTCTCCTTGGCTGTGCAAGCATTTCACTTCTGGGCTTAAGTGCCCTTATTTTCAAAATGGGATTTTACTAAATTGGTGGGTTTTAAACTTGAGAAGAGTGGATCCTTTTGGGAAAAAACCCCAGGTAAAATCTTGTCTTATTTTAAAAGGGTTCACTTTGGGGGTGGGGAGCCCTGGGCTCTATAGATCAGTCTTCTCAATTAACACTATTAACCTTCTGCCCTATTAGATTTCAAGGCCCCTCTTAGCTCATGTCTCTTGTTTCAATGGACTGAGATTTGCCAGGGTTCAAATCGAAGCTTTTGTACCAAGTGATACAAAGGAAATAACTCTACTGACTTGTATTTGTTGATTTCCTCCTTTCTCCTCACTCTAAAGTCTTTCTCAACAACTGCTTTTTCCTCCACTGTTCTAGGCATCCGAGTCGTTCTGGATCTTACTCCCAATTACAAGGGCCAGGACTTGTGGTTCCAACGCACACGGGTTAACACCGTGGCCACCAAGATGAAGGTGAGTGTGCTGGTGGTGATGGCAGGTATGGGCTGGATGCTGGGGCTGTGTGGGTCCTTGCACCTAGTCCTGCTCCAGCCTTGGAGCCGAGCAGGCACGCGCCCCCTCATCTAGGCCAGCAGTGCACCCATATTTTTGCTTGTTCTTTTGTTGACCGATCATTTTTTCTGTTTCCTTGACTGTGATGGTGACGTGCCAGGAAGGGAGCTTCTCAGATGTTAACATGGGTTTGATTCTTCTTTTTGGGAAAGTAAATCCTTTCTCAGTGGGGATCTGTCCTGACTGGTTTCCCAGTTCTCGTTTGATGTGTTTTGGAGTACAGCTCAGTCTGAAATTGTAAGCATTGGGGGGCCTTCCTGTGTCTGAGACTATGCCAAGTATTTTATATATGTTTTCTAATCCCCTGTGTACCTACACAAGGTCCCTTTCATTATGTAAATGAGGACACTTTTAAGTTCAGAGGGCTCAGTGTGCCTGGGATCTGAGGTCCATGTAACCTTATTTCTCTAAGGCGACTTCCCTGAAGGTATATGCTCAAACTCTGTATCCAGCAGGCTGGGAGTGGGTCTTTGAATGTCACCCAAGCTCCTAATGCCTGGGTTCCAGGACACTGACCAGTTCAGAATGGGTAGGACAAAAATGGAAGCAGACCCTGACACTTTGCTGGCAGCCTTGATTCTGGAGTTGAATTCCGTGCTCCCAACTTTTCCGTAGGACCCTTGAAGTCATCTGGTTCATCAGCAAATTGCTGGAAGACCCTTTAAAAGTCACTCATAAGAGAGGTTTTCAGATGGCAATGCTATGAAGAGTGGTAGCCTCAGGTGAAAATGGAGACGAAAATGGAGGAAAGAGCACATGGAGCAGAGAAAGGGACACGGGGCAGTGGGAGGGGGGCTGGGCGCCAGGGCTTCAAGCCTGGGCCTGTTCTGCAGAGCTGGCTCTCTGTTCAAATCTTCATCTAGACTGCCCTGGGGGTATGCTTTGAATTTCACTCTTTCATCCTTGGCTTTGCTCTGACCAGCTTTGCTCTGACTGCCTTTCATACCACTCCCAGGCCTCAGGACACTGGGGAGAGGAGTCAGTACATTTGTCCTGGGATCTTTATTTTTTTAATCCTCACCTGAGGACATTTTTGCATTTATCTTCGGATAGAGCGGGAGAGAGGGAGGAAGTGAGAACCATCAATGTGAGAGAGACGCATCAACTGGTTGCCACCCACACGACCCCAGCTGGGGCCGGGGACAAACTGCAACTGAGGTATGTGCCCTTAGCGGGAACCGAATCATGGACTCTCTGGTCTGCAGGCTGATGCTCTAACCACTGAGCAAACTGGCCAGGGCTGTCTTGGGATCTTGACTAGCATTTGAGTCCTGTCTCTGCTGCTCTCTGATTGTGTCTTGGGCATGCCTCCTTGCTTCTCTGAGACTGCTTCCTCATCTCTAAAAAATGGGTATGCCAGCGTTCCACACATGCTGAGTGATAATGAATTATGCTTATGAACACACTTCTTCTCTTGGGCCTTTTCTGTGGTTGGCAAAGGCTGAACCATGTGGTTTGCCATGGGAGGAGTAGAGAATTGAAATGCTATATCATTAAGAGAATCAGTGGTAGGTTAGAATGGGAGAGGACCAAGGGCTAAACCTCTAGAATAGAGGTGGGAAAATGAGATCATTCAAGGCTGTCATTCAAGTGACTCTCCCAAGGTCACGGGGAAGTGCATGGCAGGCACCGGGTGGTCTTGGCTGGAATTTTCTGAGCCTTTGTATCAGAGTATTAATATCTTTCCCCTCTTCTTTTGTTCCTCCTCCCTATAGGATGCTCTGAGCTATTGGTTGCAGGCTGGTGTAGATGGGTTCCAAGTTCGGGATATAGAGAATCTGATGGTGAGTTCCCTTTACATGTGAGAGGCGGAGCCTAGATGAGAACAGTGGGACTTGCCAGGGCCTGGTAGTAATTGATTCTGCTTTTTGCCTTCTAGGATGCACCTTTATTCTTGGCCCAGTGGCAGAACATCACCAAGAGCTTCAGTGAAGATAGGTGAGTGCCAGACCCCTCAGTAGAGTGCTAGGCCCTGGGAAGGGGGAGTTCCTCGTCCAAAGGTCTTCACTTCCGTTCTTCTTTTTTGTCCATTACCAACCTTGACTTCCACTTTGCTCTCTGCAGGCTCTTGATTGCAGGGACTGGGTCCTCCAATCATTCTCAGATCTTGAACCTACTGGAATTAACCAAGGACCTGTTGTTGACTAGCTCATACCTGTCAGTCTCCGATTTCACTGGGAAGCATACAGAATTACTGGTCACCCAGTATTTGAATGCCACGGACAATGGCTGGTGCAGCTGGAGTGTGAGTACCACAGTGGTGGGAGAGGGCCAGGTGGTGTTTTGGAGGAAAGGGGTGTTGGGAGGGGGTGGTGCGGGCTTTGGGGCTCACCAGTGCGCCCATTCCTACAGTTGTCTCAGGCTGGTCTCCTGGCTTCCTTTGTACCGGCTCATCTTCTCCAACTCTACCAGCTTCTGCTCTTCACGCTGCCGGGGACCCCGGTTTTCAGCTATGGGGATGAGATTGGCTTGAAGGCAGCTGCCCTTCCTGGACAGGTATTTTGTACTGCCTTCCCAGCACAGTGCGGAGGTTGTCTTCATCCATCACAGTGGTCTGTGGATGTTGGCGGACAGGCATGAACCTAGGGGTGGAACTGCATTTGGCTCTTAGTCACCTGTTAGTAGCTGTGTGGCCTTGGTAAGCTATTTCACTTCTCTGAGTCCTGGTTGTCTCTCCTGTGATACTGCATTTCTTATAAGGTGGTTAGGATTAAATGATGCTTACTTTCTGTTTATCTTTAAATTTTTAAAATTTTTATATTTTATTTCAAATGCAGTGTCTGGTACCTGGTAGGTGTTCAGTATGATAGCCATCACTCGTTCGTTCGTTCGTTCATTCATTGGACAGTGGCTCTGTGCCAGGCTCTGTGCTCCAGGAACTCACAGTTTAGTGGGGTAGCCAGATGTGTGAGAAGTACACGGCAGTGATAGGGGTAAGACCATGAAGGCACTTGCTTAGCTCTAGCCACAGGCATGGAGGTTAACACCTGAGCTGATAATTATCCAGCCAGTCATTCATTTACCCCACCAAGATGTACTGAGTAAGTCCTGTGCCACACCTGGAGAATACAGCAGTGTGCGGAAGGACTGGAGGTAGTGAGATGTGATCACCAGCAGGTGTGGTACAGGTGCCAGGTGCTGGTGAGTGCTGTGCCAAGGAAGCATGGTGAGGGGCCTAGAGAATAGGGGTCGGGGTTATATTCATACTGAGTGGCCACGGAAAACCCTGAGACAGCTGAGCAGAGACTGGAGGGAAGTGAGGAAGCTGGCTTGTGGCTGTCTGGGAGAAGAGTCCTTTAGGTGAGGGACAGTGTGCAAGGACCTGCGCGGGGAGCCTGCCTTGCTGCTTGCCCAGTAGAAGTTAGGTGTGAGTGCAGGAGGGTGTGCATCAGTGGGGTGGGAACAGGAGGAGGAGTAAGGGGGAGTGGGCGAGACCTTTTCCAAGTCCTGTTTTTCCTGCTTTGCAGCCTATGAAGGCCCCCATCATGCTGTGGGATGAATCCAGCTCCCTCAACACCTCGGGATTTGTAAGCCCCAACATGACTGTGAAGGTAAGGGTTTCAGATGGCAGGGCCTGACCAGCAGAGAGTGGCCAGGTGGCCTGTAGGAGTGTGTACCCAGGGGAGTTCTTCATCCCTTCTTGCTATGTCTTCTCGTTTGCAGGGCCAGAGTGAAGACCCTGGCTCCCTCCTTTCCCTGTTCCGGCGACTAAGTGACCATCGGAGTAAGGAGCGCTCCCTGCTGCACGGAGACTTCCATGTACTCTCCTCGGGGCCTGACCTCTTCTCCTACATCCGCCAGTGGGACCAGAACGAGCGTTTTCTGGTAGTGCTCAACTTCGGGGACATGGGCCAACCTGCCAGGCTGGGGGCCTCCAGCCTGCCCTCCAGCTTGCCCTCCAGTGTTGAGCTGCTGCTCAGCACCCAGCCAGGCCGCAAGGAGGGCACCTCTTTTGAGCTGGAGCACCTGAAACTGGAGCCCCACGAAGGGCTCCTGCTCCGCTTCCCCTATGTAGCCTGACCGGGACCCACCACCCTTCCCCCCACTCTCCAGGCCCTTTGGGTTCTGTTTTCTCTTTTTTTTTTATTGTCACAGATTACAGATGAACCGTCAGTAGGGTATTTTCTGGCTTCAAATAAAAGTCACCCCTGACTAGTGAGGTCTTGTGTTCCCTCCGCCGCTCTGTTATGGCAAGAATTTCTCTTCTCTTCCTGCCTGGACCTTCCCTGCAGTGATCAGGGCCTGAGTGGTTCATACATCTGCTCCTGCCCAGAGAGAAGGGGCCCACCAAGTCGTAGCATGGGGTGTCGGGGCTAGGGCTAGGGTTAGCACCGTGCCTCCGCCCCAAGGCTGAGAGTGTTCCCCTAGAGGTCTCGGGGTCTTGCTGACTCTCATCTTCTCAGCAGTGGGTCTCCAGCCAAGTGTGATCAGTTTTCCTGCTTTTGTAGACTTAGTCTCAGGGAGATAGAGTGGGAGTGGGGTGGCCTTAAAGGATACGTGAGGCCATTCATTCAGTAGTTTGTTGCACACTCGGCATGTGCCGGGAAGTGTTCTAGGTCCTGGGGTTCCTGTAAGGAACAAAGTTCAAAAATTCTTATCTCGCCCTGGCCGGTTTGGCTCAGCGGTTAAAGCGTCGGCCTGCGGTCCGGAGAGACCCGGGTTCGGTTCCCGCTAAGGGCACGTACTTCGGTTGCAGTTTGTCCCCGGCCCTGGTTGGTCGTGCGGGTGGCAGCCACTCGGTGTGTCCCTTTCACATCGATGTTTCTCTCTCTCTCTCCCTCCTGCTCTATCTGAACAAAGAATGAAAAAGTGTCCTCGGGTGAGGATTTAAAAAAAAAAAAAAAAAATTCTTATCTCCTTGGGCTTGTATTCTGGTGAGGAGACAGATTAGAAATAAGATGAATCAGCTTTAGAGTATGGTAGATACAGTGATAGTGATCAGAGAAGAAAAAATGAAGCAGAAGAGGTGGGTATTTGGGGGTGGGGCTAGCAGAGGCCTCATCAAGGAAGTGACATTTGAATAAAAGGCCTGAAATGAGGGAGGGAGTCATCTAGGTAGATACATGAGGAAGGAGCTGGCCAGTGCCCTGGGGTGGGAGCCTGTCTGACACTTGTGAGGAGTGAGGAGGATCCGGAGAGGCAAGGGGTGAGGAGGCCTGGTTGACGGGATGGGCAGATGAGTGTGGTAAGGAGGTTACACAGCAGGTGCAGAGTTGGGCAAAGTGCACAGTGAGGGCGTGCCCCCCCCCCCCCCCCCAGGAACCATCTGCAGTTCAGGACACTAAAATGGGCTGTTGCCAGAACGATTCACAGAACTCCAGGAAGCACTGAGGTTTGAGTTTTGTTACAGCGGCCTGTCTGAACTGACCCAAGGATGGGGCGCACAAGCCGGAATCCAAGCAGGAAGCTTCTCACAGTGGAGCTGGCACCAGACCTGGTGTATAGTAGGGACACTGGCCAAGTAGGGAAGCTTCCCCGGGCCTTTGGTGTCAAGTGTTTCCTTGGACTTAATCACATTCAGCCGGTGTCTGACCTTTAGTTCCCAGCCCCTCGCAGAATTTCGGGCTAATACCTTTAGTCTTGTTCCTCCAGAGATAGCATGTCCCAAAGTCCTCATCGTAAATCAGTGTCAGACTGATGTCTGAAGTCCCCATTCTAACAGACACTCCTACCAGTCAGGATATCCCAGGGCCCTGGAGAGCACCTCCCAGTAGCTGAGGGCAAAGGCCAGACCTCCAGCCCAGATAAGTTCTTCCCTGCAGTCTGAGGGGACACGGTGGCAGCTGCAGGGTTCTGAGCAGTGACACAGTCTGGCTTGGGTTTTAACTGGCTCTCTGGTTTATCAGGCAGGCAGGCTGATTGCGATGGTTGTTGCAAGTGTTTGGATCTTGTATTTATTTTACAGGTCGATCCACAGGACTTCCTGTTGTGTCCTCCTAAAGACTCTTCAGTAGGGGTGGTTTGGTCCTTCTGGCTTAAGGAAAAGAACACTAGTTCCTGTGTGTTGGGCCTGGGCCTCTAAGGGTGTCCTGGTATGGGGACAAATCAAGTTCAGGCCCAGTCCTTGTTTGCTCACTGGTTTGCTCTGCATGTGTGCCCGCGGGTTCTGAGGAAGGTGTGGGCACACTCGGCATCTGCTCTGAGGGGGCCGCACAAGTCCGGAGAAGACACACCCAGCCAGCCAGCCAGCTGGACCTCGCTCCCTGGTTTCCCTTCTCCTCCCCCTTCTGGCTTTTGTCTAATCCAGGCCTCTCTTCCTGAGGCTCCCCACCTTTTCCCTCCTCAGGTCCTTTCCCAGGGCCCCAGCTCCAGTGCCCCCTCCCCCCCGTTTTCTCCTCCCCTCTGCCTCCTGGCCTCCCCTCTGGCCCGCGGTTTGGATCATGGTGTAGCCACGGGTGGAGCCTCGACACACCTGTGTGCTCCGCAGTTTTCTGTGGATTTACTTTTACTAAAAAAAAAAATTGTGGTAAAATATACATAACAAAATTTACCTCTTTAACCACTTCTAGCTATACAGTTCAGTGGCATTAAGTACATGACATTGTGCTACCGACACCACCATCCACCTCCACAACTTTTTTCATGATGCAAATCTGAGACTGTACCCATTAAACTCTAACTCCCCCCCATATACTGTAATTTTTAGGTAAGAGTGGAAAGGAGGGAGGTGGGGAGAGAGAGAGAAACTTTGATGTGAAAGATATATTGATTGGTTGCTTTCTGCACGACCTCGATGGGGGCTGGGGATCAAACCTACAACCCAGGTACGTGCTCCTGAGCAGGAATCGTACCCACGACCCTTAGGTCCAAGGGCTGTTGCTCTAACTGCTGAGCCAAGCGGGCCAAGGCCATATTTGTTTATTTAAAAGATTTTTTTTCTTTATTGATTTTATTTATTTATTTTTATCCTCACCTGAGGACATTTTCCCATTTTTTTGTTCAGATAGAGTGGGAGGGAGAGAGAGGGAGAGAGAGAGAGAAACATCGATGTGAAAGGTACACGAGTGGCCGCCACCCGCACGACCAACCAGGGGACAAACTGCAACCGAGGTACGTGCCTTTAGTGGGAACCGAACCTGGGTCTCTCTGGACCGCAGGCCGATGCTCTAACTGCTGAGCCAAACCGGCCAGGGCTCTTTATTGATTTTAGAGAGAGGAAGGGAGAGGGAGAGAGAGAAACATCCATGAGAGAGAACATCGACTGGTCGCCTCTTGTGTGTCCCCCACTGGGGATCAGGCACACCACCTGGGCATGTGTCCTGAATGGGAATTGAACCGACGACCTCTTGGCGCATGGGTCGATGTTCAACCACTGAGCCACACTGGCCAGGCCATATTTGTTTTTAAGATAGAAAATGAATAAACCAAAAGTTAAATGAAGACACTCAAATTTGCAGCAAGGCTGGGTGGGGTAGGTGGAGCCCCGGCCCCTCTCGGGGGACAGGTGGGAGTGGCAGCTAGCAGGCCCTCTGGCGTCTGGAGAGCTGGGCCATGAGCTGCCTGCCCCTCGCTTCCCACGCTCAAGAAGGAAGGAGCTAAGCCAGATGCAGCCCCAGAAGCTGTTTTCATTAGCCCCCTAACTGCCCTACGTCATGAGGAAAGTGTCTATTTTTAATCAACTTTCCAAAATGATTCTCACAGTAGCTTGGGAATCACTAGGTCAATGTTTCCCAAACTTGCTTTGTTATGCCCGAAGACAATGGTTAGAAAAGTCCTGATTTTTCTCCCAGATAGAGTTCTGTCTCCGGTCTGGAGTAGGACACCAGAATCCGTATACGTTCAGATAGGCACGAGAAAGGAACAGTTTCACTGGTGGGAACCCTCTGAAACGAGCCTGGTAGGAGTGGCCCGGTCAGGTTGGGTTCTGGAAAGCTCACTGTGGCTCTGCTGCTGTGGAGGAAGAGGCTGAGGGTGGCTGGGCCTGGGGGCAGCGAGCCGGTTGGACTCGCCCAGGAAGTTTCAGAAGTTCAGGGGGCAGAGGCTGTGGGGCTGGAGGGAGGAGATGGCTTGGAGAGGTGGTTCAAGAGGATGGACTACAGGCGGGGAGGGTGTGCTGGGTTCAGTGCTCTCGCACTTGGAGGTAGAGGTTTCCAGCAGGGGCGAGGGGGTAGAGGTGGGGGCCAGACTGCGAGTGTGAAGGATGCCTTGGTGACTCTGTGGGGTGAGAAGGCTGGAGCCCTGAGGACTGGCAACATTTGCAGGACAGTGGGGAGGACCCACAAGGAAGGAAGAGCAGCAGAGAATGGAGTCCTGGGGGCGGGGTGATGGGAAGGCAGGAGGGAGAGGCCAGCAGAGCTGTCCCAGCTAGCCCTCAGATTTGGTGACAAGGTCCCTGGTGTTCTCCAGAGCACTTCCAGGCCACGTGGAGAAATGGATTTTTCTGATTTCAAGAGTGGGTGGTACTTGTACAAGTTTCTAGATAGTATCAGTTGGAGTTCTTGGTTTTCTTAAGCAGCAAAAGAGTTCATGGAAAGGTCATCAGGAACTGCTGGGAGGAGGCCGGGCCAGATTTTGCAAAAGGGTAGGTCGGGAAGCAAGTGCCAAGCAGCAGCAAGTACAATTGTCTTTTGACTGGAACAGCCTGGGAGGCTGCTCCCTGGGGACACACCGCCAGTGCCTGTGTGGTTGGGCACAGAGCCTTTGGCTGCTGGGGTGGGGTGTGGGTGACACGTTCAGAAAAGCTCCACTTGCCATGGCCCTGATGTGTCCTGGGTCCAGCTGCCTTCACTGATGGGGTGCTCGTTTCTAATTCACACACGGTACTTACTGATTGCCGTACAGTCGCCCTCGACGGAGCAGAGTCGAAATGATGTTAAGGTGTTTGGCCTGAGCAGCTGGAAGATTGGGTTTGCCATTTATTGAGATGGGGAAGACCGCCGAGGGCCAGGCTTTAAAAGTGGAAGCGAGCAGCTCATTTGGGGCTTGATGCCTCTGAGAACCGGCAGATGTCTAAGTGGAAACGTCAGGATGCTGGCTGGACACACTGCTCTGGCGTGGTGAAGACACTTGAGCTGGAGACGCCGATTTGGAGTCATGCATACAGCTGGCATTTAAAAGCATGAGGTGGTCCGGCCGGTGTGGCTCAGTGGTTGAGCATCAACCCATGCACCAAGAGGTCGCCAGTTTGATTCCCGGTCAGGGCACATGCCCAGGTGGTGG